GTGTGTTCAAGGTGTTCACTGTGGGAAGGGATCTGCAGTCTTCCTGATTCAATTCCAATATGAGCCATAAAGCTGCTATGCGATTATAAATCTATTATTGATGTAATAATTATGAGACACTTTGGTGGAACTATGTCGATGGTCTCTTGCTTTACGATCAGCTCTTTTAATTCTATCTCTAGGTAGAACCACATAACATGGTTTTAACATAATGTTTGTATAGTGACCCTATTTGTTCACTATAAACTGTTTTTTCAAATTCCAATTAAGTCATTAATTAACATTCAGATTATTGAGTTTAACCAACTGATCCATGTCTTACATAGATGAATCAAAAATGATTATTTACTCTCCCACCCCAGTGGACCAAGTGATCCCAAGAACATAAATAAAAAAGAATAAAATAGTTTCAGTCTAACATTATAAGAAATCACTTATTTAAAATGAACTAAAATGAGACAAAAGCTTTTCAGTTGCATAAAAATGTAAAAGTTATTTTTACATGGTATCTGACTGTTATTTTGTCTATCCGTCCATTTTGAATGTAGAGAATATAGAGAAAACAATTAACCTGACAGTCATGTTTTTTGACTGTGAGAGGAAGCCAGAGTACCCTGAGAGAACCCACACATGCACAGGGAGAACATGCAAACTCTATGCAGAAAGACCACAGGCCAGGAATCAAACCCAGAACCTTCTAGCTTCAAGGCAAGGCAAGGCAACTGTGATTTTGTATCAGGGAAAACATATACTCTAATTGTATGTGGTCACTAAGAAGAGTTTACCTCTTTGAGATTATTCTATTTGCTTAAAAATACTAATACGGGTCGATAAATCAGTCCAGAGTTCGTTACTTTGGGTAGATCGGCCGATACTTACATGAGAAACCAATCTTATCTTCCTTCTCAAAGGTCTGAAAATCAGCTACCATCTCATTTTTGTGTGTGCTTCACAATAGTCATCTCACTGTTGCCAACTTTGCCACTATATTTAGTGGAGCTAGGTTTCCAGACAAAGACCATTTAGCAACAAAGACCACTCCACACCATGTTGAGTCAGTGGATGTCTGATGTGTTCTAGCTGGTCCAATGTCGATTATTAAGAGACAGAACTGTCAGAGCTGAAGCTGATGAGAGATGTTTGAAAAAACAGAAACTTTACATTATTATTATTAACTGTGAAATGACATGTGTTCCTGAAAAAGGTTTGTGTGGTGTATGTTAAATTTGTAAACCTTTCACTGTTTAGCTACTGGAACTGGGTTTATATACCTGATAGGTACAATTTAGCTCTGAAGGTTTTGGTGAGGAAGAAAATGTTTAGACCTAGGTTAATACATAGAATTGGAAAGTCAGTTAAAACTGAACAGTGTTCTTGTGTGACATTTGTTTTATTTAGAGAAAGTATGGGTGATCTGTTTGGGATCAGTGTGGCGCCTTTAGAGGAGCCCAAACTAAGAGAGGCACAGCTCATCACAAAGAGGAACATGTTTTTAACACCATTTTCCCTATTGTTTTCAAGACCACTGGTCCAGTACATTAGAATGCATTCTAACATCAATCCCACGTGATTCACCAACAATGACTGAGTTGTTTCCATATTTATGTTCCTCAGTAAGTATCAAAATGCACAAGAGGTAGTCAGATGCCTTCAGTGATCACCGTCTATTACACGGCCTCTCCTGCCTGTCAGCAAATGATCAACAAGTGGATGAACTAACAATGACCTCATGTGCTGCTGTGGTTGAGGTTCAGCTTCATCCCATAGCGCCTCACATTCCTCTGACCCCCACATGTCAGACCAACGGTTATGAGAAGCAAATTAAAACAGCAAAAAATGGCTGTAAAATTATGTCTGAAATTCTTTAGATGAAGGTAATATTTTTAGTGTTTTTAGTCTCTAACAGAGTTAGAATAAACAGAATAAAGTCACTTTCCTGTAATTGTGTTACTTTGAAACATTTTCTAAAAGGCATTTGGTCCAAACATTTTAGTTATGTTTTCCTAAGATATTAAAGTGGTCAGACAAACACTAAAACCATACTGCCTTATGTCAGAGTTGTCATTTCTGTGGCAGCAGAACAAACGGCAAAAATCTCAGAGCTTTTTTTTCTCCTCATTGAACACAGAACCTGGATAAGAATAACAACAGCTCTGACAGTGTCATTCTCCAAACTCTGGCCTTCTTCTCTGTTTTCCTCTCACTTCCTCCAACACATCCCAAACGTTCTGCTCCTTGCCAAGGAAGCTGTCAAGCCAAGCAGGAGCATCTGTCCAGCACGGCACTGAGCCATAATTCCATTCATGTTTGGATAAATTCACACGACTCTTTGTGTACAAGACCCAGAGTGACAAACATGACAAATCGTCTGTCCTTCCGTCCCGGACATGAGATCCATAAGCAGCTGTTTTTGCTTATGGATCTGTAAACAAATTTCATGAAATCCATTTATGTAGCTGGGCATACAGAGAAAAAGTGAGTGTGAGTATGCGTTACTGCTAACACTAGGGGGCGATAATACAGGAAGTTACAGGGAAGAATAAGACATCCACGCTGCAGGGAGTAGACTGGTTGGAGTTAGAAGCCAAAGGTTCATCATAATGTTCAGGTTGAATATTGCTGGTTAAATGTAAAACATACCGTCTACTGTAAGTCCAGATAAACATTTTAATAGTTTACTAAGTTTCTCTATGTTCTTAATCCACAATAGCCATATCGGATTGCCCTAAGGAACAATTTGATTTTCTTAGAATGTGGAAAATCTGACATACATAAATACAATGTGTCAATAAAAAAATTGTAGATTTGTTCCATATCGTATCTCATAAACATGATTAATTAAGCGATTTGAGTCTATTTATGCCTGCAATTTTGCTTCTGCTTTTAAATATAGCATTAGAAATGTTTCTTTTCAGCACAAATGTACCTTTATAAATTAAAAAATAAATATCAAGAGTAAGTACTTTTTTTTTTTTCAAATCTGTTAGTAAGCAATTTGAATTTCTAGGTTTTGACCTTGAAGTGTCCAAAACCTTACATACTAGTGTCACTGGTTGCTAGGCCACCCACAGCTGTCAGTGATGCTTTATTCTCTTTAGTGGAACATTTATAAGCACTAAGTTCAAATGAGGGGGTATCTGAACTGCAATTGGTTCCAACCAGTATCCACACTGCATAATGCATCCTATGTGATGCTCAAAATCATTTTCAGAATGTAGGAAGTCCCACCAGACCTAATTTAAAAATGTTATATTTTATCCTTCCCAGCATTCACTCTGACTATATGCACATCTCAGCTGTGCATACAGTCAGAAGCACATAGATCTCTAAAACCAAGTCACATGTTATTATGAAGCATGACATGAAGGACTTCATAGAAATGTCTTTTCGTGACACGTTTCAATTAGACTATGGAAGAATCAGCCTTATTCCCAATGGTAAAGATGTCTGGAAATACTTTTATGATGATTTTTATCAAAATTATAGAAGTAAAGCAAAAGGCTGAAACAACATGGTTTAACTTCAACCCATTTTAACCTCTCACGCCCAAACATTTACATGTTAGTCAGCATGTCAGACACACCAGTGTCCAGGACTCAACTTCACTGAGCAAATAATGTTAATATAATTAATAATGTTAATATATTTAATATAATTAATTAACATAATTACTTAATGTTAATAAAATTCAAAACAATCTCAGAAAGAAACAGAAATGCCCCCATTGTAAGTCAATTAAGAATATATCTATTCTATTCTAGTTATTAAATAAAAGTCATCTGTAACTTACATGGAAATGTTAGTTATTGTTATTTCAACTGAAGGGCCAATAAGAGCATTCTCCTTTCTTTTGGATTTCTACTCATAACGAAACTGAAACCTTTTCATCACTTTCAATTCAATTTCATCATATTTAACATCCTGAACACGCAGAGTTTATTTATAAATACATAAACAGAAAAACTCAATTTTATTTATCTTGAAGAGGCTGTTTTTGCATATTTTTTGTATTTTGATGTGCAAATCTGTCACTCATTTTGTGGTAATTGATTAACTGGAATGTTTAATATAACAAATAAAGAAAAAAATATAAAATAGTGTTTTTGGATGGAAATAGTTGTTTAAATACATCAACTAATTGAAAAATTATTTGATAATGTAGCCCTGAATATCAATTAATCAAAAAGATTTTTGAAATAAGAAACTTGTTCCAACAATTAAGTTTGGACTGGGAAAAAGATAGAAGAAAAAAGACTCAGAAGAATGTCTGCCAGCATTTCAATCAGTGTTTATAGAGGAAAGTAGTTTGGTAACATAAAAACGTGACACTAAGTGAATGCAGCTGCTCCATTGTGCACACTTTGTAAACTCCTTCCCACTTTATTTAAAAGCCACACTAGCTCATCTTTACACCTGCATCTATAATGTTGTGTGTGTGAATGTGTGTGCGTGTATGCGTGTGTGTGTTCACCCACAGCTGCATAGGGACCAGAGAAAAGGCTTTGGAGTAGAAGGCAATTAAAATGCAGAAAACAAAAAAACCTCCATATCTCCAATCACACAGAAGTCATGCATCCCCTCAGGACACCAGAACAGAAGGACAGGAAAAAAGACGTCCTTCATTTGTCTAACACCGCAGTGTGAGAAAGACTGGGCTGGAAAACAAGCAAGTTCTTATGAAGTTCTTGAGCTGTGAGTAAATATTCAAGTTGCAAAATCCAAAAAAGACAAATATGGATGCATGTTTGGAGTGAAAATGTGCTATGGATGCCTCAACATTGTTTCTTTGCTCCCACCCCTGCTGAGGCAGCAGAAAAAATGCAAAAACATCCATCTGCAAGATAGAATCTGCACCCCAGAGTCTACAGACGGCAGACAAATTTGGACTCTTCCAGCAGTAAGACTTCTCTAACCAATTATGAGGAATTAAAATATTGACATGAATCATACTGATATGTTCTGGTAGCAAAGGTTATTGAGAAATCAGCAGAGATTTTGACCTGTGTCTTGTTCTGTGCCGCCCTCCTGCTTCGACCTTGAGAAACCCACTGTGCTGTCACCGTCCTTCCCGCGGGCAGCCCTGGGGAACACAAAGCAGCATAGAGATTAATGTGATGTTGGACTGCTTACATAGGCTGGGTAAACTTGCAGCAGTGAGGTGTCACAGTGTCATTGAACAAGAGGAAGGAAAAAAGACTGTTAACTTTGTCTTTTTCTGCGCAGGAGGGCTTTCAAACACAGACTAAACGGCAGCTGGTGGGAGAAGAAGGGCTTCAGAGAAGAGTAATATCTGAAAAATCCTCAGGTAAAATCAGTGAATTTACAGAAGGAAAACATAATCCTTTTTTAAATAATGGCCAACTTTATCATTGTGTTTATCAATGATTTAATAAACACAATCAGTCTGAGTCTGAGCAACAGGTGTCTTTTCACCTCCACTTAAGTTTTTACCTTTCTTACAACAAAAACTCAAAGATGCGGCTCTGTGTCCTTCCCCCTCCCTCATGTGTTTGTTGGGGGTAGTGTGTGCGTGCGTGTGGGTGTGTGTGTGTGTGTGTGTGTGTGTGTGTGTGTGTGTGTGTGTGTGTGTGCGTGTGTGTCCGTGTGTGTATGTGTGGTAGTAGGTGGAGGGAGGGAGAAGGGCAAGCAACCAGAACCAAAGGCAGCAACCCAAACCCACCATCTAATGGTGGTTATGCCAGTAAACAGAGCTGGATAACAGGAGGGAAAGTCCACTGAACATTTCTTTTGAGAGAAAATGTCACAGATAATTGTTACCACAGAGACCCAACATTTAAAATCTACAGTCGGAGAATCTGTGGCGGAATTATCCTGACAAGGTGAGAGGAAAATAAGTACAACTGAACATGTATTGCTGTTGCTATGCCAACATGTTTTCAATCTAGAAAGTTTCCCTATTTTTTATTTTGCTGCATTTTGGTTCAGGCTGAAGGGTGAGCACATATAAAGGATTCAAAGAGCATATTTCCACTAAAATGCGGTGACAGTGCAAGGTCACGCAGAAAGAAGTTGAGCTCTTCAATCTAGAAACTAAATAACAGAAACTAAGTTCTGTATTATATGAAAGTATTTAGCTTTTCCCCCTACACAGTTACAGGATTTGAAAGATCCTGTTTTTTTTGTAATACATCTTTAATGTAGCTGCTTTTGGTTGGATGAATCACAGAATGAAAGCAAATAGAACTACAAGTCTCCATACAATGTCTCACTATTATATAACTTTATAATAAAGGCCAGTCTTCACAGGATTTTTTTGTTTGTTTAGCTTCATTTCTACAATATTGTCAAAGGATGTAAAGACATTTGATCCCATAAGGAATCCAGATATTAAAAAGGTGCGCTGTGTTTCTTGTCAAAGTGAACTCTCTCTAGCAAAGCATCATCTAGTCTCTGTCAGCCTGTGACTCCAATCCAGGAGTGTTTTTTTTTTTAAATCTACTGGGGCTTTTATTTTGTAATGAATAAAAAGTGGGTTTTTGGTTTCCCTGTTGAATGAAAACAAAAATGTAATAAAAAAGTTTCACCTAAAGTTGTCTGAAAACTCAAACATTAAGGGTTATTTTCTGTAAGGAAAAGAGATGAAGGCTGCACAGTGGCGCAGTTGGTAGAGCTGTTGCCTTGCAGCAAGAAGGTTCTGGGTTCAATTCCCGGCCCCGGTCTTTCTGCATGGAGTTTGCATGTTCTCCCTGTGCATAGTGGGTGTTCTCCGGTTTCCTCCCACAGTCCAAAAACATGACTGTCAAGTTAATTGGTCTCTCCAAATTGTGAGTTAGTGTGTGAGATAGGCACCAGCAGCCCTCCTGACCCCACTAAGAGACAAAGGTGTAAAGAAAAGACATGAACATTTTGTTCAGCAACAGATTGCCTGTTAGAAAATTTTAAGTATAGCACTTCCATTTGGCAGTAATGCAAAGGATTTTTTTTTTTTTTTAAAGAATCTGGAATCCATTTGATGATGTCTACAGAACTTAGACTAGTGATACTTGAACAGGATTATTCCACTCTGAAACATCACCTGAAAGTTCAAAAAACAAAATATGGTGTTTATTTTTCTAAGGAATATTGTTGGAATCTCATGTCATTCTCAGGAAAACAACATTGTTTATTGTCTTGTCTTAAAGCATGCTGGCTGGTTCAGTTTGTTAACATTTTAGTACATTTCCATCAAACGGGACAGCTTGTAAATGAATAAATAATAAAAAGTGTATTGAAAGCTTGGAGTTGTTTTGATATATACACGATAAAGCATATGAGGTGTAACCTGTTAGGGTTCTAAACAGTTTCTTGTCAACTTCAGTCTGAGCCTTAAAAAAATCAAACACAAAATTTTAAACCAGCACTATTTGTTAATGGTAAAATGTAAAGCATATATGTTTTTTTAGTTAATAAAAATAATAATAATAATAATAATAATAATAATAATAATAATAATAATAATAACTGCTGATTCCTTTACTATTTGCAGTACAGAGAACTTAGCATAATTAGGGTAGGGCTCATCATTTTGACTTCTAACCATCTTGGATCTTTATAGTTCTAGTTGTTTTACATCAAATATTTCAGATGTTAAATAACCATGAATCAATGTGTACCTGCCAAGAGACATAGCAGTGAGGGGGCAATCAAAAAGTTACAAAGAATAAAACAGATTACATCATCCTATTGTAGATAAGTTTAGATAAGTCAGAAAATCTGTCAGTTTTTGAAAAATGCACTAAGGTGACTTAAGGCTCCCACATATGAACGTATTGTGCATATTCTATGCAGCATGCACACTCTCCACACACGTTTGAGGTTTTACAGTCAAGCATAAAGATTTCCTATATTTCTCGTAATAAATTCCTTCATTTCCCAGAATTAAAAATGAATACTAGCAAGTTCGATGAGCTAGTTGGGTGTCTAATCTCTTCATGATAGCAGCCACCACACACCTGTCAGTGTCACGTTCTTGCAAATAGTTGCGCCAACTCTCAAATCTATCAGCTTGTTATTGAATATGAAATTTCATATTCAACAGTTATTGGATATGAAATTCTTCCACCTGAACACTGCTTCCCACCGGGAAGTTTATTATGTGACACCGAGTATGCATGCAGTCGTACAAATGGATCTTTGTGCTGACCTGTCCAGTGGATATCTGGATAGATGCCACTGGACCGCAGAGTGAAGTACATCCAAGTATGTTGTGGTCGTTGAGTGAAGCCCTGCAATAGCACAGCTTACACATGACCTTATCAGTTGTTGTTTTTTTAGCTATTCCTGTTCATCTGGTTCATAGGGAATATTCCTTCTAACAATGCTTATGCTCTTACCTCTGTCTTTTGAAATTACGTGTTATAAAGACAGATGAACATAATATAATGTCATGCTATGAAATATTTTTAATATTTAGCACCAGCTTACTAGCTTTATTATCAAACATTACTATTCAGATAATTTGTATAAGACAATAAAGGGGCAAACTCAGTGTCATCTTGGGATTGGTTTTTATCAAAATATCAATTATTTTGACAATCTCCATTTGGGTCCAGAATCTCAGTACAAAGGGCTGCACAGTGGCGCAGTTGGTAGAGCTGTTGCCGCGCAGCAAGAAGGTTCTGGGTTCAATTCCCAGCCCCGGTCTTTCTGCATGGAGTTTGCATGTTCTCCCTGTGCATGCGTGGGTTTTCTCCGGGTACTCCGGTTTCCTCCCACAGTCCAAAAAACATGACTGTTAGGTTAATTGGTCCGTCTAAATTGCCCCTAGGTGTGTGTGTGTGCACATGGTTGTGTGTCTGTGTTGCCCTGTGACAGACTGGCGACCTGTCCAGGGTGACCCCGCCTCTCACCCAGAACGTTAGCTGGAGATAGGCACCAGCACCCCTCCCGACCCCACTGAGGGACAAGGGTGTTCAGAAAATGGATGGATCTCAGTACAAAATAGTTACAATTTATAGATGAAAAAATCATGTTTTTAATCAATTTCAATAGAAAGTACACATCTTTTCAAACACCTTGAAAAAGTTCAAAGGGTACAGATATTTTTTGAAATGCAATGCAGCATATATGTTTAATGTTCTGTACTATATCATTCCATTACTATCTAGTTGTCATAAATTTCTCTTGAGGAAGCTCCTCGCCTCTAGTTTTTTTTATAAAATCACTGCTGATGGTCCATTCAGCTAAATCTTCATAAAAGCTAATTAAAAGCTGAAGATAAATGACTCACTTATTGGGAGACCTTTTTTCTGGAAGTGCTCTTTTACGTCCATCCCACAGGACTGATCTGAGTCGATGCAACAGTGAGTGGGGATCTCTACAGGACAACTACATTAGCACAGATGAATCACGAACTTTCTTTAAATTGACAAAACACTTCTCTACATGTTGAATTTAAAAGAGAGGGATTCATAAGCATCAAGGTAGGGCTCAGTATACTTTCAATCACAGATAACCTCAGGACATCACCATTAAACTGCAGTAGTAAAAAACAGAACATGTAAAAAAAAGGCCTGTTCATAGCTTTTATTTCAGCTTCAGAGAACATTCAAAGGTTCATTTCTTTTCATGTCTGCCAGATCAGTTCAGTAAGCCACAACAAAGAAGGTGTAAGGACAAACTAACAACTTATTTTAGTGAAGACAATGAGGAAAATCAGTTCTTTAAATATGTATATTAAAAAATCTGCTACTAAAGAGATAAATATATTAAAGCGATGCTAAATTAACTTGACAGTGGTAGATACATTTCAGTCCTGACTTTGGTTACCATGAACACATTTAAGTGACTTATTAATTGTGGTTTAATAAATGATAATTAATGTATTGCAACTTTCAATTGTAAAGCTGGGGCCACAGTGTTTGTCTAAAGAACTTTCCATTAGATCCAATAAAATATTAACAAAATTTAATGTAACTGCAGAGAAGCCTTTTAACATCCATTTCACTTATTTACAATGCATTATAATGTTTGCTTAAGATGAGAAACCTCACCAGAGGTCTCTTTTAAGGCAGGACAGAGTAGGAGACATGAAAGACATCATATACAGCATGATATCTTTTTTTTTAACAGTAAGATTAC